ACACACACACACACACACACACACACACACACACACACACACACACAGTAACATTTTTAAAAGAGTTTTTAAAAGACTAAGTTAATTTCCTATTTCTTTTGAAGTTATTTCTCAGACTCTTTATCTTGCTGCTTAAGAAATCCTTGTCACTGCTTCTCTGCTTGTGCTCAGGGTGGTTTTCCTGCTCACAATGCAATGCCTGGATTATAGGTCTCTGCCAGCAATGGGGTCATGAATGTGGTGCTGGGACAGAACCTAGGGCCGCTGGCATGCAAGGGTGGCTGCCTACCAACTTTAGTTAAATCGGTGAGAAATCTGCCAAGCAGAGCCAACCCCCTAGGCGAAAAACTAATACATGTAATAAATTTATCAACAGGATGTTCCACGTACTGTTTCCTTTATTTTCCATGGCCCTTGACATTGTATTTGAAGAGAAACAGAAGAAAGTCGAGCATGGTAGCATACGAATGTCATTCCAGGATTTGGGTGCTGAGGCACGCTGATCCAGTCTGAGGGCAAACTCAAGCCATGTATCAAGACCCTCCCTGAAAAGAATCAGCCCCCAAGAACAGAAACACAGGCATGAAAAGCACTTATAAATGCCTAGGAAAGCTGTGTCCTTACCCGGCAGGTGTGTAACGAGCTGCCCTCTGATGAAATCATCTACTTCGTCTGGCTGCAGATGGTACTGCCCGTCTGGCTTTGCTTTTCTAGTTGCCATTCTAGCAAGAAGGATATTAGAACCTATGGGATTGAAAAGAAAATGCATGCTCACATGGTTGCTGGAGGAGGTGTTGTTTACTTTAAAACAAGTACTAATTCAGTGTTCATTCCTGATGGAGGGAGGACAGGGAAAACATGGGGAGGAGCTAAGCTGGGCGTGGTGGCTCATGTGAACAATCTTAGCACTCAGTCATCTTAAGTAGCCCTTTGACTATGAATATGAAGACAGTCTGGGCTACAGTGTAAGATCCTGTCTCAAAACCCCTCCCTACTCTTACTCAAAAGAGTGGTAGATTTACAGAAAGCCAAAGCAAAAATAAAAACCAGTTACATTTCCCAAGTCCAAGGTCCAGGTTATGTGAGGACAACAGGTTAACAGGCTTTGGAAACAGAACATGTGATGTGAGTGGCAGCTTTTAAGGCCTTCAAAGCGCAGGAGAAGGTCAGCAGTGAAGAAAAACAGCAGGGGACTGCTGGGCACTGGAGCTGACTGATAGGTAAGCTTTTCTATGAATGAAACATCAAGACATCAAAAAGTCCTGTACTAACCATACAGAAGAATCATGAAACAATACAACATAAGTAAAGATTCCTATAAGGAGTTCAAGTTTAGAAAAGTCAGACCAAAATGGTAGAAGTGTATAATTAGGGAATTAAAAAGAGAAATAGGAGTGGAAGTACCAAGTGGAACTTTAGTTTTAATTCCTTTCTTAAACTTAAAATATATTTATACCAGAACTTATAGATTAAAAACAAAAAAATTAAAACTGTGTCTGACACTGAAATACAGTGCGGTGAAAAGGAAGGCTGACAGGCGCCTGCAGGCCAACAGGAGGGAGTGAAAAGGCAGGCTAGACAGTGAGTGTGTAAACAACGCCAATGTACTCACCATGCTTTCAAGGTTCAGTGTGCTGCAGTGTTTCACAGCTTAAAAATCTTGCTGTAAGATGTTCTCACTTGGTGCCATACTGGGAATGGCTGTTACAGAGGTCAAAAACTGCTCGCTGATTACAAGTGACGCCTGCTCCTCCAACAGAATGCTCAGTCTTACGAGAGCCCCTGACCAGGCTAGGGATGTGTGGTATCAGTCTGTGGACCTAGTGTTGTTTTGCCAAATGGACATGTCACAAATACTGAAGTTCATGTCCATGAAGTCTTTCTGGTACTCTCAACTTTGGCCAAATAAGTTTCTTTCTAAGAATCTTAAATGTCAAGGACACTAAGAATAAGTGCTTGCTGAGTGCTCAGTCCTAAATGGGACAATACTGCCATTGCCCAAGGCTCGGGGAAGATTTAAGAGCAGAGAAATGCTTGACACATTCAAGAAGTCACAGCAGCTGTGGTTACTCTCCTAAGACCTACTAGTCAAAATTCCAGAACAGAGGGTCTCACCCTAGTTGAGGCTACTGGCAGTGAGGGGAAGTAATTTGTTTCAGGGGTTTAGAATGCGATAGGTTGGCTGTTGTGGATGGTCCCACAACCACGAGCATGTCAGTGCATACATGAAATCGGAAGATTAAGGCCAAAACCAACCAAACAAAAACAAAGAAAAGATGGGAGGGAACCTGGTAGTGCATGTCACCAAGATAGATCGCATACATGTATGAAATTGTCAAAGGAATAAACAGAGAACACCAAGATAGATCGCATACATGTATGAAATTGTCAA